TAAGGCTGTGGCTGTTTAGCATACGCGGGAACGATGGAATGTGCTATGTCACACCAGATTCTTCACAGGTCATAGATTCCCAGGCCCTAGTGAATGCGTTCTTGGGTTTCTATAGCACGGCTTCACGAGAGATTGAGAGCAGAGGCTATGGCCGAATTCTCTGCGTGTGGAAGATTTTTGCCATTGACTATGTATCTTGGTATGGAAGGCCAGAGAGTTTGGCTTCTTCGTCTCTCAGATTCACAGAGCAAGACCATGAAAAAGATCAGGTAGTGTTTGACCATTCCCATGATTTTAACCGCACTCTCTTTGAAATTACCACGGATCCCGACTGGGAGAACTGCTGGCCTTTTCGATCCAACATGATTGGAGGAGCCGATGCTGCAATAGGATCATACATTGGCAACTATGCCACGCTTGTATCTCCCAGTGGAAGATACAAGGCGATCATGCAACAAGACTGTAACTTTGTTCTCTATGATTCGTATCGGGACGTGAATAAGGTAGTGTGGGCAAGCGACACGTTTGAGAAGGCCAAAGGTTGTTACGTCAATCTCCAAATGGATGGAAATCTAGTACTAGTTGATTCTACTGGTACGAGAGTTCTGTTTGCTTCTGATAGGTATTGCCCAAATCAGCCAGATTGTGTGATTACTGCCAGCCTCTCTGTCACAGATGGTGGCTACATTGTCATTTGGGAGTCTGACTATCAGACTGAGCTATGGCGGGAACCCAAGTAAATTCCTAGCAGAAATAAAAGGAGGCGGATATAAATTCATAGATAGAACTTCAAAGAAGTGGTTTAGTGAGGAAAATTGTGGCAAAACTTGTATGTTAATGAAAGTCAAAGAGGACGGAGGATCTTTGGTCAAACAAATAAAATTTACAAGTGCCGTGCTGAAATTCACAATCCAAAGATTGCGTTTTTTATATTATGCTTACGAAAGATTCCACTATCGCTTTGCAAAGAAACTTTCAAGTCATGCCGATGAGCTCTCTCAGCTTCTGGATGAGAGCACGGTCATCAATCTGGAACGCCTTGGCGATCACGTCGTCGTTGATGGGAGGATTAGAATCAAACACCGCCCTGGCCACCTGAGACGCCCCAGGGTTCTGGCTGTTGAAGCCAGCGAGCGCAACCGCAGGCTCCTGTCCCACATTGAGCTGGAAGTGGATGAGTCCCCGGGGGAAGACGAAAAGATCCCCTGGATTGAGCTTTTGGGCGAAGAGCTTGTTTTCTGGCAAGGTGGTGACGAATCCGACGTAGAGGGTCCCGCGCAGGAGGAAGAGCAGCTCGGTTCCTCGGGGATGGACGTGGGGGGGATTGGTGCCGCCGGGAGCGTAGTCGATGCGGGCAAAAGCAACACCAAAGGTGTTGAGACCGGGGAAATTGTTGACACTCGCCAGGGTGACGTTGGAGCCGAGCTTGTTGTAGGTGTTCCCGGGAGTTGCCAGGAGGCTCGACTTGAAGTCCTCGGGTTTCACATCGTCGGCCGCCTTGCAGACAACGCCGTTCACCTTGACCTTGGAGCCATTATCTGCAACGCAAAAGTCCTGCAGCATATCCTCATCGGCTGCATGCACAAACAGGATGGAGCTGATTGCTAGAAGGAAAGGTAGAACAAAACGAAGATGAGCCATATTGCGAGCTTGGAAAGAAACTGATGGAGCTCTGAAGAGAGGGGCAGGTATTTTATAGCCGGAGAAGGGGAGGCGGGGTCCTTTGGATGACCTCATCGTGAATCGTGCACAATTTTTCCCAGTCAGGTTATACACGGTGTTCTTTTCCTTTCTATTTCATATTTTACTCTTGCTGTCCGCGTGATTTGCTTCCTGTGAAGTCGTCTCCGACGTTTTCTTTTAGTATGATGAAGCCGTCAAAGTCATCTTGTCTGTGTGTAATGAGGACTTTTGTTTTGATGCTAGGAACTAGTCCTTCTAGAGACTCAGTGAAGCGTGGATTTTAAGGTGATGGTTTGACACTAATTTGCTTTCTTCTTGCAGGACATTTCTCAGTCCATGCATAGTGTAATCCATTTTCATTCTAGAAGAGATGAGAGATGTGAGCAAGACTATTACGATGCGCATCACAATATTCTAACAGATAGAGATGTTCCTTCTTTAGTTTTCTTAATTCTTTTTGATGATTTTCTATAGGGAACTCATAGTAAGAAAACTAGAGCCAATAAAAACGATAACCAAACACCTCTAGTCATTTTCATTCCAGCTTCTGAGAAACACACTCAGCTTTCTGTTTTCCTCTTTGTAGAAAAAACCAAAGGTTTCTGTCAATCATGCCAATGTTCAATGGATGTTATTCTTTTTATATTCATTAATAAGTTGTAAGGTGATGCTAAGCCTCGCTTAAGAATTTAGGGTTATGTTTACAAGCTTAAGGATGTTAATATTCCATGTTTCTAATTATTTTAGAACTTTAAGTTTTTTATTATCAATTTAAAGCAAACCAAAATAGTCTTACTTTTAACAACTGTATTAAACATATTGAAAAATATATTTAATTGTTTTAAATTTATCTTTTATTTTATCAAATTAATATCTTGATTTGATACGAAAACTACAAAACCCAGCTTTATAATTGCTAAAAGCTAAAGAGAATGTCTAGACAACATTTGCTAAAACAACTATATGGATATACAAGTGTAACAAATTATACAATGCCAAGATAATGCTTTAAAGCAGCTTCCATATGATCCACTTACTCACAACAAAACCAATATGAAGCCAACTTCAAAAAAGGCTTTGCACCATTGCCTAATGCCTTTGCCACAATTGTCACATATTCCAATTTTTCACTCTCACCCCACTATATGCAATGCTTGAAGCATTGTTCAGCCTATATTAGGGCGTGACTATAGTGCCATGCTCCAAACCTCCAAGCTGCTAAGGGGGAGTGCACTTGTGTGGGAAGTGCAAACACTATTGCACGAGAAATGTGAGTACTCTTGCAGAAGACTAAGAGTGCTTTTGCATGAGAAATGAGGCATGGCTTAACAAGCACAAAGAGAAAATTCACAGTCAAGAGATCACAAATCAAAGTGGAAAAAGACAAGAATGACAAAAAAAACTTTACTATATTGCAGTGACATCATATTGTCTAAGATGATATGGCATTAGACTTACATGTTGGCATGGCATTCTAGATGTCATGGCATTTAGATTGTTTTTTAAGCAATTTAAATATAATTGTATGCAGATGTGTAAAAAAAAGATGCACCTACATGTAATCACCAACAAGTGCCAGTTAAGGCAGATGTGGGTAGATTGTGGCATAATTGTTGGCATGAAGTAAAGAGTTACAAATTACCACCAATAACACAAGAGTATGGCATTGGTTTTATAAAAATGCTTAAGTTAAAAAAATAAAAAATTACGGATATGGTGATTCTCCGAAGGCCATTCTAAAGCTCATCCGGTCAATTTCAAGGGAGAGCTATTACACTTATGGAAGAAGCTTACTCATCAACATTCATGGCTACATCAAATTTCAACTTCAAGGTGAGTGTTAGGCTGTGGCTGTTTAGCGTGCACGGGAACGATGGAATGTGCTATGTCACACCAGATTCTTCCCAGTTCATAAGTTCCCAGGCACTAGTGAATGCATTCTTGGGTCTCTATAGTGTGGCCTCCCGGGAGATTGAGAGCAAAGGCTATGGCCGAATTCTCTGCGTCTGGAAGATGTTTGCCATTGACTATTTATCTGGGTATGGAAGGTCAGGGACCATGGCTTCTTCGTCTCTTGAATTGACAGAAGACCTTCCAGACGAGCCAGTGTTTGATCATTCTCTTGACTTTAACCGCACTCTCTTCGACATTACCACTGCTGGAAAAACTCCCAGCTGGAAAAACTGCTGGCCTTCTCAATCCAACATGATCGGAGGAGCCGACTCTGCCTTGGGCTCATACATTGGCAGGCATGGCACGCTCGTATCTCCTAATGGAAGGTACGGGGCAATTATGCAACAAGATTGCAACTTCGTTCCCTATGATTTGCGTTGAGACGTGAACAAGGTGGTGTGGGCAAGGGATGGAAATCTACTGATGGTTGATTCCACTGGAAAGTGGGTTCTGTTTGCTTGGAACAAGTACTGCCCAAATCAGCCAAATTGTGTGGTTACTGCTGGCCATTGTCAGATGGTGGCTACATTGTCATCTGGGAGACTGACTATCAAACTGAAGTATGGCGGGAACCCAAGTAGAATCCTTCAATCAAATAAAATCAAATAAAAGTCAACAATGTTGAATTCACTATTGTGTATCTCTTCCTCCGGAAAATTGCCTGTGCTATACTTTTTGAACTCACGGCAGCCGCCTCCCCCCCGGGAGACAAGTGCTTTGCACGATCTTGTCCAAACTTTGATTCGAGGAAGAGATGTATGCAAACAATGGAACACGCCCACGATGTTTTCCGCAGTCTGTGGAGAGAAGCGGTACAACAGGGAGCGTTGGCTGTGTTTTCTGACCCAAGACTCCGTCCAACACGTTTATGCATGTAGTTCAACTCCCACTCCAAAGAAGTTGGCGGGCTATGGATACAAGTTCAGCTGGTCACTCCGCTCGGACGCTCAAGGCATTCCTATCAGCCTGACTGAAGAGAACCGAGTTGGGATCCTCGCATTGTGGACTTGTTCTTGGGTACATTATAGATGCCCATGCTGCTGCAATTATATAAAGGATCTGGATTTTCCTTCCAAGTCTTCCCAGGTTCCCAAATGGAAAAATTGCCGTGGATCCAAACACTGAGAGGTACAAAGTGTTTTCTTGTAGATACATATGAGATGCACGACTGGGCAATGGGAGTCAAGCCTCACGTCGGCGGACTACCAGGAGCATCAAGTTCAAGCACTAGCTCTCCAACAAGCCTGTTTGCGAGCCCATTTGGATTGCCATACAGCTGGTGGTGGCAAACGCCAATTTCAAAAGCGTGCGGCCTTTGACATGGATGCAAACTAGTAGACAGTGATTTCTTGTGATTCTGCCAATCACACCATGTTTATCATACAATCTTTGATATTTTCATTGCTTTTGAATCCCATAGTCATGTTTGTCACGAAGATGCTAGCTAGAAGCACATAGGTAGCACCGTACTTAGTGTCGAGCTCGAGAATTCTCCTTGCAGCAACACTTCCCAGCTCCAAATCGTTGTATCTCTTGCAGCATCCCAGCAAGGAAACCCAGTCGACAACATCCTCCACGAACGGCATGCTGCCAATGAGCTCTCGGGCGCTTCTCAGATGCCCGGAACGTCCCAGCAAGTCCACCATGCAAGCATAGTGCTGCTTCCCGGCCACCACTCCATAATCCACGCTCATTGACGTGAAAACACACCTTCCCGTGTAAACCTCTCCCTGGCAGCTACACGCGACGAGGAGCAAAGTAAAGCACACCTCGTCTGGGGATTCCACCACCATTTTCATCGCCTGGAATGCTTCAAAGCCCTGCTCGAAATGGCCGTGGTGACAGTAAGCAGCGAGCATGGCACTCCAGGAGATCAATCCTTGATCTTGAGCAGGGATTCCCTGGAAGATTTTGGTGGCGTTGGCGAGATGGCCCTTCTGAGCGTAAACTCCGAGCATACAGTTCCAAGCAGTGGCATTTCTCTCTGGCATGCTGTCAAAGAGCGCTTTTCCTTCGGAGATCAATCCACCCTGGATGTATCCCAGCAGCATCGTCGTCCACGCGATGAGATCCTTCTGCGGCATGGAATCAAAGAGCAGCCGCGCGTCATCGAATCGGGAATTGTGAACGAGCGCTGCAAGCATCGACGTCCAGGCGACGAGATCGCGCTCGGGCATGGAGTCAAAGACTGATTTGGCGTAGTCCAGGTGGCCATTCTGACCGTAGACGAGCATCATGCTCGTCCACGATACCAAGCTCCGGCTCGGCATCTCATCAAAGAGACACTTTGCCTCCTCAAGGCGCCCATTGTGCGTATATGCCGTAAGCATCGAGGACCAAGACGCCATGTCTCGCTCCGGAACGCTGTTAAACACTTCTTTCGCCTCCGTCACCCTTCCGCTGGACGAAAACGCTGCAAGAAGTGTGTTGCATGACACAAGGTTGGGCTGAGGCATCTTTTCCATGACTTGTTTTGCTTGATCCAAATGCCCGTTTCGGGCATATGCTGCAACCATTGCGTTCCAAGACACAACATTAAACTGCGGCATTTTCTCAAAGATCCACACCGCTTTCTGGAGCTGATTTTTGCGTGAAAACGAGACCAGCATCGTGTTCCAAGCGACGATATCCCGGCCTGGCATGGAATCAAAAGTCCGTTTTGCCGAGTCCATATGCCCGCTTTGGGCATATGCAACAAGGAGAGAAGTCCACGAGAGCAGATCTCTCTCGGGCATTTGATCAAACAGCTGCTTGGCTTGGGTGGCGAGGCCGCTGTGCGTGTATCCATCCAGCATCGAGTTCCAGGACACGAGATTCCTCTGCGGCATGCGATCGAAAAGCTCCTTGCTGGGAGCCAGATGCCCCTTCTTGGCAAGCGCATCGATCATGGCAGTCCAGGCGACGAGCGTGCGGAGATCGCTGGGCGTGGCGTCGAACACGATCTGGGCGTCGTGGAGCTTGCCGTTGTGGGAGTACGCGCAGAGCATGAGCGTCCAGGAGAAGGAATCGTGCATGGGCATGGCGTCGAAGATCTGGCGCGCGCTCTCCAGGCTGCCGCATTTGCCATACATCTCGATGAGCTTGTTTTGCATGAAAACGTCGCGGCTGCCGTAGAGGCGCTGGATTCGGCCGTGGATCTCTGATGCCTGTGATGCCGATTGGCAGCTCCCCATGAGCTCCACGCATTGCTCGCGAAGATCCCATTCTCGATCGCTGTGTTTGCGTTGAGAGATCCCACTTCTCCACTCCAATTCCACCATCGCCATTCCATTCTCTCAAAAAGAACAAGGGGGATGCCACTTGGCGTCCACGTGGCTGCCACCAAGATGCCACGTGGCTAACAAGAAACTATGGAAAAGAATCGTTGGCTATGATCACATTGGAGGTGTGCTTGATACAATCTCGGATGGTAGCTTTTCCGAGGAAGTGGATTCATATATACCTGAGAAAGATCAAGGAGAGGAATTTAGAGAATGTTATGTTTTCCTCGAGACAAAAGCATACCGAATCCCAGAAGCGAGGAGCAAATCAAGAATCCAACGAGCGAGAAATCCATCTGGTAAATAACGAGCTCGAGAACTATTAGCAACACGGATGTGACGAGAAGATGCTCCGACGACGTTGCAAGTATATGCAACCTGGATTAAAGAGATTAGAAGCAAGCAGCGAGAATCTCAAAATTTCTTACCTTTCTTCAGCGTAATTGTCCACGTAAAAGCCAGCTACCATCCCAAACACTATGGTGCTCATGTAGGCCCATGCTGGTGATCCGTGAGCTTCGGTAGTCGGGGAGGTTTCCTGCTAAGAAGAATTGATCTGGATGATATAGAAAAAGAAAAGATCAAACGAGACTTATACAGACCCCCAAAGACAGCTGAAGCATCGCGAATGGAAAAAGGAAGCAAGTCGCGGCAGCGACTGTTATGGAATGTAGCCGCTTCTTCATTGTAGCCTGGGCAAAAGAACGAGTAGCATTAGTTTCACATCTCAAAACTCCATGCAAAGAAGCTTGCCTTGATCGAAACACGCCGAGCTACTATTCTTCGTAGAGCGAAAAGAGTACCAGCGGCGATGGACATGCTTATCGGGCCCAGTCCAACACGGCCTTGTTCGTCACTGTCGCTGCTCCCAGCCGGTGCGAAGGAGTTAAGTTATGATCCCATCCATGGCTTCGATTGTGTAAAGGATATAGAACGGGGACAAGGACGCAATCGTCCATCCTCTGAAAAGAACGTAAAACGCAACCAGCATTGCCGCTAGTCCACCACCCTGGAGAGATTTCTAAGGTGAGATCGCTGTAAGAAGTGGTGTTACCTTGTCACCTTCTTCCACTTATGGCCGCCTCGGCCAAGAACAAGCGTCGATGCCGCTCCAAGCATCGCGCCTGTGTACTCGGCCAGCACTGTCCTGGAAGAAAACATCATGGAAGATCATGGAAGAACAAGAAGAAGCAAAGTGGAAAACCTCACTGGACCGCAAGCTTGTAAGCTCTTCCCCCAGAGAAGAAGCGCAAGAGCGAGAACTCCCCCATTCAATGCTGTTAGATAAATCTGCGACGCAAGGATCACAAACAAGTCACTCGAGAGATGAAGAGAAAGAAAGAATCCTGGAAGAAAAAAGCAAACATCACGAAGAAGTCACTCGAGAGAAGAAGAAAGAATGGAAGAAAGAAAGTGGAGACCCAAACCTGTGAAGTTGTGAGCGGTCGTCCATGCCAAGGCCTCTGGAAGATAAAAAAGAGTGCTCCAGAGACGAGCGAGCACACAAACGTGAAGACGACGATCGATTCGGTCCCATTTCTCGCCGAGAGGAACTTGAACAGCGCGTACACTGACAGCAGCCTCAAGAACTTTCCCAGGACGAAGAATGCAAGCTGTGGCGCCTGTCTGGAACGAGAAATCCATCCACCGTAGAAAGCGCAAGAAAAAAGCTAGATCTCACCTCGCCGATCCAAGACTGTGCCTGCTGCTGCTGAGACGCGAGCTCGCCTCGATCCAGCGACTGGCGCCATCGCTCGATCCAGCCATTCCAAGGCGCCGAAATTTTAGGGTTCCTGGGGCATTTCTAGGGTTCTTGGAGGCCGCTAGTGTGTTGCTGGTGCGCGCGGTAAGCTCGATCTGGGAGGAATGGAGGCGTCAGTGGCCAAGACATCGGTGTGGTGGGACATCGAGAACTGCCGGCCGCCCGCGGATGTGAATCCCTTCCACATCGCGCGCAACATCAGCAATGTGCTCCACGCCTTCAATTTCTTCGGCCCTCTCACCATCTCGGCTTACGGCGATACGTACCAGCTCACCCGGCACGTCCAGAACGCGCTCACCAGCACAGGAATCTCCCTCAATCACATCCCATCGGGTGAGTTCCTAGTGAGAATTCTTCCAACATTTCTCTCGGACCTAAGAACTTCCAGGATGCTTGAGCCAGAGAATCTCTCTATGAGCTCCATTCGAGCAAAGGGCTCTTGGGACGCGCTTGATCTCTTCTTTCTTCCTTGAGCTGCGATTGTTTGCTTTTCTTTCTCACGAGAGAGTATGCATCCTTTGAGCTGGACTTTGGATGATCGAATTTTTCTCTCCTTCCAGGGAGGAAGGAAGCGAGCGACAAGGCGATCCTGATGAACATGGCATTCTGGACGAGCGACAATCCTCCTCCAGCGAATGTGGTGCTCATCTCCGGCGACCAGGATTTCTCCCCGCTGCTCCACAGGCTCCAGATGAAACGATTCAACGTTCTTCTCGTCCGGCCCGAGGGAGTCCACGTCTCGGAGTCGCTACTTAACTCGGCCCGGACGGTGTGGTACTGGACTCGCCTCGCTCGAGCCGAGGTGAGCTACTTATCAGTTCCAAGGGACGTCAAGGCTTTCGGGCTTCCTCCCGGTGCCAGGCCACTCGCTCCCAATGGTGGTGGTAGAATGGAGAACGCCGTCGGGCCGATAGCTCGGCCACCTTTCATGGTTCCAGGCTACCGGTCTCCGGGGCACCAGATGATGGCCGAGATGCGGCAGCCGCCACCGTTGCAGCAGCAGTATGCTCCCAGGGACGATATCAATCGGCCGCTGTTTCTCCAGTGGCCTTCGTCGCCGCAGTGCTTCTCCGGGAGATCGTCCGAGAGTTTTGGAGCTGCGAGGTCGCAGTGGTTTGGCGGTCCGGACTTTGGTGGCGAGCAGGATTTCTACTACGGTCGAGAGCTGATAAGGCGAGTGCTGGACACGCTCAAGGTCGAGATGATGCTCCCGACCGAGGCCAACATCTACAACTGTGTTGTCTACGGGGAGAAGCAGGCGCTGGGCTTTAACTTGCGGAGGGCGCTGGAAGAAGGCGTGAAGCTGGGAGAGCTGGCGATTAAAAACGCTGGTGTTGGTGGCGCCGAGGAGATATTTCTGCCGGCTGGCTACGATTTGTGGCCTTACGTCGACCCGAATCTGTGCCAGGAGTACGATGCTGATATCTGGAGCGACTTCCGGAGCTATCTTTGCAGCGAAAGGGTGCATGTTTTCATCAATGCCGCGAACCAGTAAGTCTTCGCTCCTTGCTGAACAAGTGGTTTTCTTACTCGTCTCAATCGACTTTCAGGTATGATGCAGCATTGATCCTCAGAGCACATCGCGTTGGTAGGCTCACGGACTTGAGTCTAGCACAAATCTACAACGTCATCCAATTAGCCATTCTCGTTCGACTATGGATAAAGCCACATCCTCGAACGTGGTCGCCTCTCGGGATCACCATCTCCAGGAACCCCATGGCAGGACCTGCGTGCACTGCTGTACTCGAAGAGAAGGCAGTGGATGTGGTGCATCAGTCTGCGGTCTCGGAAGAGCTGGTGAACTACGAGAGGACAGCCATTGACGTAGTCAACAAAGTTCTGGAAGAAACGACGCTTGACGTGCTCGCCAAGCCTGTTCCTGTGACTTTGGAAGGGCCACCACCACCAGCCCGGGCCCAGCGTCATCCTCCAGAGCCTCCAAGTCGACCGACGCAGATAGAACGGGAGAAATACGTGGAAGAACCAGCTATACACGTGACGAAGCAGGCAGAAGTCAAGCTCCAGGTTGTAGCTCCTGTCGCGAGCGTCGCAAAGCAGCACTGCGAGAGCCCGGCCAAGATCGCCAAGGAGCCGCCGGTTTCGGTCGTAAAGGAGCTCAAGTCGTGGCTGCCGTCGGTGCTTACGGTTGATGGCTACGACATATCGCTGGTTCGTCAGGAGTTCAAGACCGCGAGGGGTTTGACACTCGACCACCAGGCTCTCGGCCATGCGAAGTTGCTAGATCTCATGAAGAAGTTCCCCGACGTGGTCCAGATATCGTATCCCAGGCCTGGTCTCTGCAAGCTTTATCCCCCCGGGACGACTGTGGTCACGCAAGTCAAGACGAAGGAGAAGGAGAAAGACAAGGACAAGGCGCCAGGGACGAGCGATATCATGCACAGGCTAAGAGGCTGGCTGCCGTTGTTCATCGGCAGGAGGGGTGTCTGTGACCTGGCATCTGTTTGCAAGGAATTCGAAGCCGAGTGTAAGCTGAAGCTCGAGGCCAGCGAGCTGGGCTTCTCTAGTACGAGTACGTTGTTAGAGCAGTTCTCCGATATCGTCAGGCTCGAGCATCTCCAGTCGGGAGATATAGTGCTCACTTCCGCGACAAAGAAAGCCTCCTCGACGGCCTCGAGAGAGAGGGAAAGCCTGGCACAGGCTCCTGTGGAGGCAGCAGCAGCAGCGAGGCAGCAGCCATCACCAAAGGGTGCTGCTGTCGACTTCCCAGCCAAGATGAGAGCCGACTGCAAAGCTTTGCTGCTCGAGAGCATCCCGAGCTGCAAGTCCGGCTATCCTCTGGCGAGGCTCAAGGGGGACTTCCAGCAGCACTACGGCTACGCACTGGATCACGCGGGGTGTGGCTTCAAGAAGCTGGAAACTTTCCTGGAGCAGCTCAAAGACTCTATAGGCATCTGGACGGGATCGGGCGGCCACAAGCTTCTCCACTTGAAGGAGCCGGAAGATAGCAACGTCGAGGAGAAGATCAAGGGCGAGGACAACGTCAAGAACAGGGTGAAGGAGAGGGTGGAGGAGCTTGACGAGGTTGCGACGACTCTGGAACCGGAGGAAGAAGAGAAGGAGAAAGAAAAGGCGATGGTGGATCCGAAGAAGCGGAAAAAAGCTAGCGAGGCTAGCGTCTTGGAAACGGGGAAAGCCCAGGCTCCCGCGAGCAATGCCAAGCCGCAAGGAGTGAGCAAGAGTAGCAGCAGTGGCAAGCTCAAGATGGGGGGCGGCAAGCTAAGCGCGCAGCTCCCGGCTTGTTTGAGGCACTCTTTCGCAGAGAAGGTGGCGGAGAGTAGCCTCGCTTTCAAGCCCTCCAATCCATTATCCATGGTGGATTGATTGATCCATTCATTACCACGCTATGACTCTTGCGTGGTAAAGCTCGTTGTCAACGTGTGGACTAACGCTATCAGTCAACGCTATCTCATTACTGTTCTAATGAGCTCGTTCAACTGAAGTGATTGATCTGATGCTACGATTTCTGTTTACTTTTTACTGTTTGGACTAACGTTGACTACAGGTCAACGCATCTACTGAGCTAATCTACTCGATCGTGTCATTTGATCTGCTATTTATTACCTTCGTTGTGAACGTGTGGTCTAATGATCTCTGTTTACTTTTCGTTGTGACTGTTTGGACTAAGTGAGATAATCTACTCAACCCTGTTCTAATAAGCATTTGATCTGCTATTATGTGAACGTGTGGACTAACGCTGACTACTCAGTCTACGATAACAAATGTTGTAAAATCGTTTCGAAAGTTTAAATTTTTTAAAAACAGGAACAAGAAAATTCTAACCAATTCAATGTCTCTCTGTTGTCTTCGTGAAGAGCTGTTGTCTCGTTGCCTTGTTTGAGATTTGCAAATCATAATTTCCTAATTCAATGTCTCTCTGCTGTCTTAATGAAGAGCAGTTATCTCGTTGCCTTGTTTGAGACTTGCAATATTATCTCCCAATTCAATGTCTCTCTGTTGTCTTAATGAAGAGCAGTTGTCTCATTGCCTTCTCCTAATTCAAATGTCTCCAGACTTCTCCATCTGTTATAATTTTGATTGAATACCACGGACCTGCCTTTGCCTGTTGCGGTTTAAAAAAACCGAAGTAATTTGTTTCATGAATCTTCATTCTATGCCTGCAACCTCAAGCGTATCATCAGTCCAAAACGACCGAAAAGCGTACCTCCTTTCGCTCTAAGCTCCGTCGAGCTCAAGCTTAACCTCCGAGGTGGAAGGCTAGTTCAAGCAGAAGTTATACTTTAACTCGAGGCATGGAGACTGTTTACCTTGGCATCTGAGTCGTGTACACGAGCAGCCAAATGCGAACCTCCAGAATTGGCCGAGTGATTTGCCTCAACCACGGGCTTCTCAACCACGGGCTTCTCCAGATTCTCCACCTCACGGATCCTAAAAGTGCTCCATTAGTCACTTGTTCTATCTCTCAAGCATGAAGACTTACCAGTGGGAGTGCTTGTTGCCGGGCCTCCTCATCCCAAACTCGATGATCCTTTGCATGTGCTTCTCCATCTCAGCTCGCTTCTCCGCTGCTGCTGCGAGCCGAACAACGAAAGCATCTCCAGGATCGAACACAGTGCCACGACGAGACACTGGATCCACAGCCTGTTCCTGGGCTCTTCGATCATTGCCGCTCCGACGAGCAGCACTCGACAAGAATGGATCCTCTGGGAGAGAAGCTCTTGGCACCTTCTTGCGCTCGTCGACTCCGTGGATCGCTGCTGGTGGATCTCGTCCCAATGGCGGCGTCAGGCGGTCGTCAACCGAATCAGTAGCAGCACCATAGATTGGATTCATCTTGAGAAAAGCCGAAGGTGGCAGTCGCCTTGGAGGCCTCGCGAGTGGAGGACTGGCCACCTTTGTGCTGGCATTCAGCTGCGACGGTCGAAGCTGCTGCTTGCTCCTCTCTTGAACGAAAGAATCGAGCTTGTCCCGGAGCTCTGCATCCTCAATCTTGCTCAAGGGAACGAGATGCTCTCGCTGACTGCTGCTGCTGCTGCCACTGCCAGGAAGATGGCTGCTCCCGACGTAGCGCACCAGGAT